TCTTTATTCTTTATATATAATTTAAAAGCAAGCTTTTCTTTGTAAAAACTTCAATTGAATTTCAATAAAGTTAAAGATATGGCCTAACTGTTGTAAATGGAAAAGTTTCTTCAGATCAGTGGCTTCAAAATTAGGTATGTCATATAACTACTTAGGGTTAATATCAGTTAAAAGAGGCATGTTAGATTTGGCAAATAGTTAATGAGATTCTAATTAGGTCCTCTTAATAAAAGGAAGGTTTCAGGTTGGTTATTAGATAAATATATTGACAGAAGTTAGTGTTTACAGGTTAGGAACAGATTATATATTAGCGAATGTATTATTTTATTTGTCAAAGGCAGGAATTTTTGATCTTTCTGAAGGGCCTCTTGGCCTTTATTTATAATTGTAGAGTTCTATTTACATTATGTGATGGATACAACTGATATCTTTGAAGCTACTGATCAGTTGTATTCTACTGATATTTCCTTTCTGACCGATCACTACTATCTGTCATATTCATCATATATATAACATGCAACTAATCGGTCATATGCGATGAATGTGACAGATGTGACAGATGTGACTGATGCGATCGAGTCCTTCTCTAATTTAGCAATAGGCCTCCAACTGGCCAGAGTTTATTCAGGTTCCACATTTCTCTCTGACTTAAGGTCAAGTTCCACAAGACAAGATCAAACCACTGGTGCTTCTTCATCAGAATCGAAGATGCATAGTCTACACTTTGGTGAGTGTCGAAGGGCTTTACATTTATCCTTTTCAACTTCAATTCCATTTTTCTTGATCTTGGTTTTATCATAATCAAATATTGTATTCTTGTTATCATAAACACCATCATTAATAATTTTCTTTTTATCTTCCGTATCTTCAAGTTCCTGATAAAAATCAGATTCAGACTCCTCAACTGCAAGTTCTATATCTGCTGGCCTTTGATAATCCATCTTGATTGGTTCATTATTCAGTTAACTGGGTCTTTGATTTTCAGATCAGCTGGCATTTGGAGACTTATAAGCACATTCTTTTCAGCTCTGCTTTCCTTTTCATGGCAGGATCTGTCACTGGTTTGTTTGTTCGAGTTGTCCTTTTCAACTTCAATACCAATATTTGGTGTCTCTTCTTTGGCGTAGGCAGGTTCTTTTGGGTTGTCTTGGGTCAACCATCCATCGGAATTACCCTTCTCAGTTTTTCTCGAATACCAATCAAGTTCTTTAGGATCATTTTTTTCAACTTCAATTTCAGTATTTGTCGCATATTCTTTGGCATAGGCAGGTTCTTTTGGGTCATCTTGAATCAACTTTTTGAATCTAGCAACCTGTCTATTCCAATCTTCACAGGCTTGATCCAAGTTTTTTATAGTAAAACATTGATGACTTTGTGCATCAGTATCTTTGTGTTCAGCCTTTTCAACTCCAATTTCATTTATTTCAATCTCTGTTCTGTCATCATCATTGTCATCATCATCATCATCATCATCATCAGTGTCCTTATCTACACTATTTGTTTTATCATTTTTGGTGTCTCAAGTCTTCCTTCTTTTTCAACACCACTTTTCTGTAGGGGTTCTAGGGCAACTTATTCTGAAGCCTACTTTTGTACAAGTGTTTCATATTTAGCAGCTAATTGTTGATGAAAACATTTCGAGTCAAGAGGTTCTTCTGCAGATTCATCAAGGTCATCATAGGCATTGGGTACTGTAGATGTCAGTTGTCGAAACTTTGATAGTAGGCATGTGATTTCCTTTGTTTTGTCTTTATTACCTAGAAATATGTCTTCAAATGTTTTTAATATAATTTCCAAAGCCTGAGAAATTTGTCTTTCATCAAGGCTTTGATCACCAAAGGTTTTGTTGATAATTCGTTGAAACTTTCAGCTTGTTTGTCAGTAAGTCTTCTGAATAGATTAGAATACTTCTCTTCCAATATTCTAACTTCTGGGTATTTATTAACAGCATGTTTTCTTATCTTGCAATAAGGACATCAAGTTTCTTTTCAGAAGTGTCTTCAGATTCATTCATGGCTTGGGACTTGCTGAAAATAGGTATCTCTTATTCTGCCTTTTAGTTTCTAGAACATTGGGTAAGTTCTATACATTTATTTTCTTTTTTTCTTCATTGGGTCTTTTTTTTCTAACTTCTCTTTTTTTATTCTATAGGTTGGTCTGCCATTCTGATATATTGATTAGGGTCTTGAATGTGCTCCGATTTGGGTGTTAATTATGGTAAGTCTTTCGTTTATACATTCTAGTCATTGGTATAGTTCTTCTATATTAGCATTTCTAACTTTATTTTCTTTCTATCTCCTCAATTACCACTTTACTTCAGGCAATTCGAATAATTGTATCACTACAACTATCACACTTCTTTGGATAATTGAGCATGAGTTACCACAGCTGATCCTAGTACTTTAGGATACCACAGCTGGACAAAGTAACAAAAATTTAAAGTAGCAATGTTTTGGATCTTACAGTCATTACCAAATTGTAAATGGAAAAGTTTCTTCAGGTCAGTAGCTCCAAAATCAGGTACATCATATAACCACTTAGAGTTAATATCAGTTGAAAGAGGCATGTTAGATTTGGCAAGTGGTTAACAGGATTCCAATCAGGTCTTCATAATAAAAGGGAGGTTTTGGGTTTGTTATTAGATAAGTATATTGATGGAAGTTAGTGTTTACAGGTTAGGGACAGATTATGTATTAGTGAATATATATTTTATTTGTCAAGGGTGGGAATTCTTGTTCTTTCCGAAGGGCCTCTTGGCCTTTATTTATAATTGTAGAGTTCTATTTACATTATGCAATAGATATGACTGATATCTTTGAAGCTACTGATCAGTCGTATTTTATTAATATTTCCCTTCTGACCGATCGCTGCTATCTGTTACATTCATCACATGCGTCACATGTGACTGATCAGTCACATGCGACGGATGCAACAGATGCAACAGATGTGACTGATGCAATCAGTCCTTTCCTAATTTAGCAATGAGCTCCCAACCAGGCAGGGTCCATTCAGGTTCTATATTGTTAATATTTAAAAAAAAAAAATTTTTATTAATATTACAATATTTAATAATAATCAAAATATTTATATTATAATATCACAATTTTTAGAATCTTTACCTAGAAGTTGAAACACTTTTGTATTAATGCAATATAGTATATAATAAATAACTAATTAAATATATAATTTTAATTGTTCTAAATTAGTAAATATTAAAACAAAATACATATAATAAAAAAGTAAAAAAAATAAATATTTTTAAAAATTAGTATTTAATTCAGTTTTTAAATATTAACAAAAAAAGTAGAAATATAATTTTTATATAAATATCAAAATTTAAAATTTACAACTATGAACACTAGTTAGAAATATAATATAAAATCAAAAAAGCCTATCTCAATATATTATAACTAAAAATATATCTGATTATTTTTATAATTATTTGTTATAATTATTTTTTTTTTTGGTATTAAGGTGACTTTTTTGGTTTTTTGACTTTTATTAATCACTTATTGGTATTGTGGTTC